ATCAAGTTTTTACGGAGGAACCGAAAACGCTCAAAGAAGGCTGATTCGCGGAGAAATTATTTTTTACTCAAGCAAGAATCAGCAGATAAATTATTTGATCAACTTGACATGTCAGAGTATTTATGAAGGACCAGAAATGTCAAAGATTGCCGCGCCGAATTTATTCAAATTCTGGAGGCTACAAAATTCAAGAAACGGCAACGGGCAAATTATTCAAATCATCTGACAAAAGGAGAAATGACATCTACCTAATATTTCAGATCAAGTTGACAATATTATCTGATCAACTACAATTCAAAATGGACGATCGAGATCGAAAGTTGATCAACGGGCAAATAGCTTTCACTAGCTATAAATTGTCCAAGCAGACTTGAAGACAAAGGGGCTTGAACACGGCTGAAAATTGAAATATACAAGCAAGAGAAAAGCAAGCAATATTTATATCAGCCAAGAAGCAATATATTGAGCTATACACGATAGAATTCAAGTCTGAGTGAGAGAAAAATTTTATCTCTTTGTAGATTTCTCTACTGAGTGTAGAAAGAGGGCGGAGTAACTAGAGAGAGTGAAAAACCCTGGTTGAGTGTAGCTTTGTGCGTAGCACTCGTGGTGAAGGGCAGAGTAACAAGAGGAGCTTGTGAAAACCCTTGGAGGACGTAGCTTTGTGCGTAGTTCTCGTGGTGTAGGAGTACAGCTTGGTGCGAAGTACTCGGGAAGGCGGAGTAACAAGAGGAGCTTGCGAAAAACCTTGGAGGATTGTAGCTTTGTGCGAAGCACTCGGAGAAGTGTCGGTGGACACTTATTTACTATTGTATCTGGGTGATCGAAGAATAGTGAATTTCCTCCTTGAAGTGAAAGGAGAAGAGTGGACTAGGAGGATTACACCACCTCTGAACCACTATAAATCTCTCTCTCTACTTACTTACTGCTCATATATTTTGTGCATGCTTTTTTCTAACTGCGAACTAACCCGATTACGATTTATCGCTTATCTTTATATGTCTGGGTTTGATAGTTCCCACGTTTGCATGCAAGCCAAACTTTACGTACATCATCCTTGAACCATATCAAGTGTTTCTAACGAGTTGCATGTTTAGAATCTCTCTTTGAGCACCGTACTAATTAAGCATAACACTTTACCGCTACTTATTCCGCTGCACACTCTAAGTTGTTTATCTTGTTGATGCTTGTTACTTAGAGTTGAAATTATCAAAGTGTTATTTGCCCTGTGTGTTTTTGAAGAAAGTTTAAAAAGTTAGAGAAGTCTATTCACCCCCCCCCACCCCCCTCTAGACTTCTCGCCACCCTTTCGGGACCAACAAAAAGAGTAGTAACGTACCATACTAGTAACGTATTGTTGTGTATTATTTGTTTCCCCTGTACCATACTAGTAACGTACTGTGGTGTATGCGTGTATGGGATTAGGCGTATGCGAAATAAAAGAATTTGATAATTTTTAAAAATTAAAATTAAAAAATACTAATAATAGTAAGGTTTGAAATTGAAGAATTATTATAGCACGAACTTACAGCAATTGAGATTTCATATGTCATCGACATCCTCAAAATTGTGAAATTCAGATTTCTAATCTCAATTGTTGATTTTTTTTCTTTTGGCGTACCATACAAGTAACGTACGGTGGTGTGTGTGTATATGGGAGAAGGCGTGTGCGTAATAAAAGAAGATGATTTGGTTAAAAACTAAATATTAAAATATAATAATAAGGTTTGAAATTCAAGTATTATAATAGCACGAATTTACAGCAATTGAAATTCTCTTATCTCAAGTATTGAATTTTTTTTCCCGTACCAAATTAGTAACGGTTGGTGGTGTGTGCGTATACCGGAGAATGCGTGTGCGAAAGTTGTGTAGAGGGCCTTCTGTAATAGTTATGTTCTTTCTAAAAACAATAAAAAAATTGTTAACCACGATCTTTATGTGGTGACTGCATGGTAAATTTTTTATTGAAGGACCCGTATTTTAAGAGTAGTATATGTTTGTTCTTATTAATTTTTTTTGTTTTCCGTACCATATGGTGGTCTGTGCATATATGCACTATGGCGAGTGCGTAGTATATCAAAGTAACATTTATTATCAAAGTATAAATGAGCATGTTTTTGAACATTAGTAAACAAACACTAAACGAGTCTGATTATAAACGAATAGTAAACAAACTTGTTCACAAGCTCTTAGCAAATAAGCATACAAATGTTCAGACTGCGTTCATTTATTAAACGAGCTCTAAAATTTGACGAACATGAATACTTACAGAACACGAACACAAGTATTTTACAGAAAGCTCTCTGTTCGCCCTACACCAAAACAATCTAATCCCATAGGTGGAGTGCTATAGGGATGAATGTGGATGAATTTAGTGTCAAAATACATACAGAACTTGGGAATCAGAATCATGTAAAACACAGTAATGGTGAAAATTCCCCAGAAAATTGATTCAACAAAAATCAAACCCCCCGCTCCCCCTCACCCCCCCCCCCCCGACCCCCTCTACTTGTCAACCCAGAGATTTCCATGCAAAACACCCACATTGCTGGCTAATAAGCTAAAATCATCATCATCATCATCATTATAGCTACCCCACCCCACTTAAATCCTTGCTGGAAATATGTAAGTAAGAATTTTGAACCATTCATATGACTCTTCCCGGCGGAAAACTTCTGGGTAACATTCAGAAACCCAAAAAAAGGGGAAAAGTGTTTACTTTGACCGAGGGCTGAGATGAACTAAGGTCTTCGGAAACTGAAATCGAATATCGCCGACATGAATACGGTTAGTATTGTTGACCTTCCCATCAGAGTTTAATGCATCCAAAACAAAACTGTTTTCTAGTTTTAAGGTTTCCAGGCTGTCTCCGCATCGATTGCTCGATACCACCAGTCCACGACGAGAATGCAATAAGACTATAAATCAGAGAAAGAATCACATATACAGTTAAACAAAATGATGCAATATTTTGGTCCATAGCAGCTCAGATTTTAAATTTAATTCAATAAAGAGAAATAATTACCTCATTCAGTTTTTTTGTAGCAGTTGCAATGATCTGTTCTGATTCTGAAGGGAATACAACTGACCATACATACTAAATAGTAGTCATCGGCCACATCCTTAAAGTAATTCTCGATCCTTCACTGCATGCCCCCTTAAGATGTTATTGGCATCCACTGAGTACCAATATATGTTTCCCAATTCACGTTTGAACATTCCAAGAGCCTCAGGAGTTCTGGGATATAAGTTCCCATGACCATCGGTATCTATCGATAGATGTAGTTGTTGCTTAGTGGAATCAGTATATGGAATAGGAATAACCTGTGCAATGGAATGAACTGCTGCTTCACAGTTATAACTGCTACTCTAACTATCCGTGTTCTCTTTCTTTCATCAGAGAATAAAATACATATTTGCCAGAAACAAAGATGACATTGGAATATTGACAACAGAGCCCAATGGCCAATGCACATGCAAACTCATTGGAAGATGCCCAAAAACATCATAAAACAATGAACAACGAGTCCATACAGTAGAACGTACCTTGAACAACAACAGAGGAAGATCCACGCCGTTGCAATGAACGCCTAGATGAGGAGCCGTCCATGGGGAAAGTTGATGAGCGCCGACGAACGAGAGAGTATAAGACGGCTGCGGCCTGACGATGATCGCCGACGATCGAGAGAGAAGAAGATGGAAGGCCTGCGGATGTATTGAATATTGACGCACGAGGAAACCAGAAAGACAATAATTAATCCAATGTCTGGTAAGGAAAACGAATCAGCGTATCAAAATAAAAAGGCAAGAAAATAATGACTCATGGCTAATTACATTAGTACCCCCAAATTAAACACAGCATCTCATTCTAGGTTTAATCTTGCCTCCAATCACAGCCGCTCAAAACCAAAAATAAACGCATAGGATCGAGCCTCATTTGAACTCATTTTAATTAGGTACCTCACCTGATCCAAAATCTATACACACACACACACACACACACACACACATATATATATATATATATACATATATATATATATATATATATACATATATATATATATATATGTACATATATATATATATATATATATATACATATATATATATATATATACATATATATATATATATATATATATACATATATATATATATATACATATATATATATGTATATATATATATATATACATATATGTACATATATATATACATATATATATATATATATATATATATACATATATATATATATATACATATATATATATACATATATATATATACATATATATATATATATATATATATATATATATATTGTTATTGGACAACAACAAAACTATAAAACCAAGTATTATTAAGATTTTCCTATTATTGTAATTGGAGTTTGTAGTTTTTATGACAAGTCTGAGACCTAAAATAGCTCAAAGCATTGTGTATTATAATTGAACATATTTTTTTTTTATCATGAATATCTATGTAACAAACGATTCATAATATACAAATTTTATAGATTATTAAATATACAACATTTGACGTTGAAAAAACATACTTTCCATTAGTGTTGCAAATAAGTAACTTAACAATTTGAATTGTTAACTCTAGACAAAAGTACATATAATTGTCCATGAACAAAAACTGATTTTTTTCAACAACATTCCATGCACACCATGGTGTTCACAATGAACACGGGAATGATCTTGATCATCAATATTCTCTACATCAATTCAGTATAAATAAAATTTATTGACTAATATAAATAAAATAACATATCATTCTTAATTTACATTTTCACTATAAACCATACAAAAATTTAAATCAAATGACAATATAATTTAAAATACAATTTCTTGAATTAAATAAATAATAATCCAATAACTCTGGGCCAACATAAACATATATCAAATTATTGATATTTTGTATATATGGCCCAAAAAAATTCTAGCCTAACCCCATGTATAACAATCGGCCCATTATTGCAGCTCCCTCTCTTTCTCGCTTCTGTGTCCTCTCTCGCCACTCTCCCTACCGTTTCTAGAAACCTCACCACAAACACATTGCTCAAAATAAGCAAATCCAATAGAAACAACAATAGCAAATTAATTAAAGGAAAATAAAAAATAAAAAGAGTTCTTATGCAGATTAATAAGTTCTGTCCAGAATTGTCATCGCACCAGACCAAATTTCATCGCCCAGAAATTGAGATTGCATGCAAAGAAGAAATGAAGTTGACGCTGGATTAATTCACTGGAAAGAACAAATTGCTGCGACTCGGAAATTACCACACCACCGCCTGAATTATAGCTAATTGGAGTTTCCGAAGTCGAAACCCGGCCGGACGAAACTCTACTAACCAATCGGTTAATCCTTCTCAATCCAGCGGTAGGTGTTCGGCGGGCAGAAACAATCTGGGCGGCAAAGCAAACAATACCATGCATCGAGACTACAACATCTGTAAGGTAAAACCTTGCCTTTTCTGATTTTGCATTTAATCAAGTATGTTCTTGTTTAGACGGATGTGAATATTTCGATTTTAGGAATATTATACACATGCAATAATATTCAAAGTATTTTTTTTATAAATATCTGTTATGTGCAATATTTTTGTTCATATGTTCAATTTATATGTCAGATTTTTTATTTTTTTAGAGTTTATTTGAGTTCAAATGCGATTATTATTTGAAAATTGTTTAACTGTTGAGAAAAAAATCTGAGTTGATTAGTTTGTGAGAAACCTGCTCATCTTGCAGTTTTCTTGATATATTATTTTTTTTCAGAATCAAAAGATCATTTTCAATGGCTCTGTTTCTGCTTTGATGGATGGTTAGTGCTGCAGTCGTTAAAGCTTTTGCAGATGAATCTGCAAGCTCGAAAACACACGTGTAAAATTCCAATTTAAAATTAAAATAGCTTCATGTAATGTAGTGTAAATGGGATGAGTCCTCCATGTTTCTGATTTGAACTATGTACTAAGACAAAAACGGAGGCTGATACCAAAAGTGGAGATCAACCATTTCTGTTTTCGGAACACACATGATATCCTATAATTTTAAGAAACAACAAATGTTAATCCATAATCCTTCTTCAACGGTAACATTGTTGGAGTTTGATTTCATGTTCTTGATCCGTATTGCATAGTAGTTTACCATACAATTTCCCAATATTTAGAAATATTAGAGCTAATGAATTAATTTATGTTTTGCTTTCTCTCCCTCTTATTGGTTCTGTTACATAAGTTGGCCTCCTACTATTTAGGTTGCTGATTTTTTATTTTTTTTTTCTTTTCAATTTCTTGTCTTTTTGGTTGTTCTTATGCTCTTTAGTTTCAAAGGATTCTTTCAATCTTTCCCTGTTCTGTTCTATATGATTCTTTACTTTCCAACTTTAATCAAGCAAGAAAAGGGAAAAACTGCCATTCTTTTGGCAAATCTTAGGTCAAATATCCTTCAGCTGCTTTGAGTTGCTCATAAATTAAAGATGATTATATGTTGATGATTGATTGCCTGGGTTTTACTTAGTAAGTAAATTCCGAGCATACAAGGAAACAACTTAGAGCTATAATTGCCAAGCCTTATGGATGGAAATTTGCACCTTTATTTGCTAGATTGTAATACTGACTAATTCTAATTATGCTTATGCACCAGAACAAAACATGTATAAAAATATATTTTCAGTGAGATTTTTTTTTTTTCATTTACCTCAACATTAGAGTGTAAGCTTTCAAATGCGGAATATACTATTTCTATTATTTGTGTCTGCACATGTCCTTAAAAAACTATGGCAATATTGCAGACGACTGGAACTAAGCTGTCTGGATAGAGTTACAAAGAAGAGATACATACAGTGAACACCTTCTTTGGACGGTAATATTCTTTTTATAATTTTTAACTATATTTGTTACATCTATATATATAATTCAGGTTACTATTACTCTGAAAAAAATTAAAGCTTTATTATTACTCTCTATACATTTAGCATCTCATGTGTTTCATTTATATATCAGATTTTATTTTTGGTTTATTTTGGTTAACATGCAATGAATATTTTAGAATTGTTTTATTTCACAATTAGCAACAAATTTGATATATGTTTCAATTGCATATTTTTTCCTAGAATTCGCATTACTTTAAAAAATATATATATATTGGTGCAGATTTCACACACATATGTAAAGCAAATCAGGCACATATTGCAAATGAAATAAAGTCAATATTTCATATAATGAAAACCAGTCTTCACAATATATATATATATATATATATATAACTAATCAAGATACTTAAATCTTAGATTTTTTAAATTTAATGCCAACTGAATTTTATCATAGGCCTGAATTTGACAAAAAAAAGAAAAAAAGAAAAAAAAAAGCTTTTACAGTTTAAAAATCTAAAAGCCTAAAAACTTCATAAATTGTTAACAATTTTTCAGTAGAATCCAACAAAGCTGAATAGGAATTCATTCTTATCACCAATGTGAGGTTAGATAATGAATAGGACCAAAAAATCTCAAAAACATAATGCTACCTTGTATTTTGTATTGCGGTAGAAACCAGACCCATGTGTCTTGTTATTTTGCACCATGCCTGTTTCTCCAAAGAGGTCACCTCTGAGCATAATCAGTATATCACAGTTTAATTCAACTACTGCTCAATCTCTGAATAACTTGAGTCCACTGGTACTATAGTGATACATTAGAAAAGCCAACAGGGGCATTCACATCTGATAATTTCTTCCCTTTTTTTTCCAGTATATGCATAGACAAATTTACAACAAAAGATTGAATTTCTTGACTACAATTCACTTGGAAGTATATGCATAGACAGATAAAGCTTGAATTAAAACACCATGTATGCTTCCATTGTATCTTTTTTTTTTTCTCTAAAAGTTTTCTCTTTCCGCATATGCTTGTTGATTCCTTCATCCTTTTCATTTTGCCTGCATTTGTTAACTATTGATCCCTTTTCTAAAAGTTTTTTTTTTTTTTTTTGTGTGCATATTAAACAACTTACGTAAAGTAGAGTTCCAAAAGAAAAGGATGTTGGAATTAACTCAATAGTAGATTCCTGAGGATGTGCTGAGGATGAAGCTGCGCACCCATATGATTGCGATCGAGATTAATGTTTACCCTAGCAACCTAGAATCAACATGAAACCATTTTGGATCCACAACCTGACCAACTTACAATTAATTGAATTCAAGATAAGAGGTTTTTAGTGTTTCATTCACATGACCACCTAAACATCATGAAACTGAGAAATGAAAGACTTCAACAGTACTATTTATAACATCAGAAAAGAAATACATGCCCACCTAAACATCATAAAAGAAACACATAACCACCTAGTAGTACTATTTACAATAGAAAGATCCGTAGCAGCTTATATCTAATAAGACGAGACTACAAGCCTAAACATAACACTAGCAGAAATCGCTATAAAGAAGCAAGCGACAAATGCTAGTGCAATTGAAAGACGATACATGTTGCATGGCATGTACAGCTTATAGCAACTATCAAACTTGTATAGAAAATTCACTACACCAGCAGATGCGCATGCAACACCAAGAGATATAATCGTCATCACCTGCATTATATTATATAAATAAGCTTCAAAATTCATGAATCAAACATTTAATTAATATGTGTGCGTGCATAAAGGAAATAAGGGAATTGAAGTACCCAGTCACCAATACAAATCAGGACTAGAAGGAAAACAGAATGCCCTCTCCTTCTGAACATTATGGAATGAAAATCCAGGCAAGATAGACTTAAACTCCATAAAAATAGAACCCCCATCACAAGTGCCAAGCACCTGAAACAGATACAAATAAATATATGAGATCAGAGTGATATAGAGAGTAACCATATATATGCACTAAGGCACTAACTTCATTCACCAAAAGCTCCACTCAAATTTGTTTCTCAAAATATCACAATAAGTTTGCATAGAAACTATATATTTTATTATTTAAACACAGTTACATATATCACTTGGCAAACACAATAAGCATCAATGAAACAACAAAATACACAGTGTATATAAAACATGTAAGCAGGAGGGAAATCTAATAGACATCACTAGGTAAAGGTGAAAGATGAATAAAATCGATAAAAAAGAAATGCTAGCATACCAAAAACTGGTGTTCCTTATGAAGTATGAAGCTAAAACCATTACTCCAGCGGAAGCAAGTGAAAATACACACTGCAATATTCTGACTAAGAGCCCACTCGGCTTCCCTAGGCCACCAAACAAATCTCTCATCTTGACTGTCTAGTGAACAATAGAACAATGCACTTTGTAAATCTTAATGCTTTCAAAACTTGTAAAACAACAAATGAAGCATTAAGCCAGGCAAACAGGTGACGTGTCTATGAAAAAAAAAAGGCGGGTCTAAGCTCAACCACCGGCGGCGACACAACTCCTTACCTTCTCCGGTGGACGGCGTACTCTGGAGACCCCCCCTCCCAGCTCAGCAACAGAGCTACGCGGGTACTCCTACGGCGGTGGATTGGTCGAGGACAGCGAAGAACGGCAAGAAGATCCGGCGAGCTCCAGCGTCCGACGTAAGCAGAGCCCCTCCGGCAGTGCAGCTTTTCCGGCGTCAGCTCTCTCCCTCTCCCCGGTTTCTGGCGACTCTCCGGCGTGGCTGTGAGCTCCGGCGGGGTGGTGGCGAAACTAGCTTGTTGGCGAAGGATTGATTCGGCGGTGGTGGCGAATTGAAGACCTAAAGAGCCACCATATATAGGCACACCAAAAGCTCCACTCAAAATACCACAATAGGTATTACAAAATTAAAATTAAGCTGTTACCTGATCGGATGAAGAACGTACGACTAAGCATAGTTTCATGATCGACTTTGTAGTCGCCTGTTGCCCCTTTTCCCCCATTTTGTGAAGCATAGATTACTGATCTCATTTCTATTTTTGAATACCTCATTTCATTTCAGGCAAAAGGGGACGTGGAAGAGAGAAAGATTCCCAGCTAGTGTTTTTGCTTTAGGTTCACTCTCATCTTCTTCAGCATTTGGGCAATTTGAAAACCAAGGCCACCCAGTGATCAGTCACTCAGTCCGCCCTGGTTACCTTTTTTTTTTTTTTTTTCTTTTGCTTTTGGATGGGGTAAAGTGGGGCCAAAAAACATTTATAATATGATAGAAGGGTCAAATAGTTTCATTTACTACTTTAAAGTGCTCAATTCCTTCACCATTGAAAATATAATGTGTTTGGGTCATTGAACTAAAAAAAAAATACAATTGGGTCCCTGAGCAATGCAAATTCATTCAATTCAATCCAAATTGACTTGTTTATCCGGAAAGACGGTTACTAAGTTAAAATTTTTTTTAATAATTTTAAATAGTTAAAAAAAAAAAAAAAAACCCTTCGTCTCCAGAGACGAAGGGGTAGCTTTATCTTGGACCGTCTCTCCGGCCATGAAGACGGCCTGAGACGAAGCCACCTTCGTCTCCGGTGAAGACGACGTAGTTTTTTTTTTTTTTTTAGATTTTTTATTTAAAATTATTAAAAAAATATTTTTAAATTCGGTAACCGTCTTTCTAGGTAAACATGTCATTTTTAAATTTGCATGAGTTTGCGTTGTTCAGCGATCCAATTACATTTCTTTTTTAGTTCGGTGGCCTAATTATAATTAAGTGTATAATTGAGTGACCTATTTGACCCAAATTCCTTTGTTTTTCAACAACAATCCTCATATATATATATGACACTGCTTTTGCATTTGCTGACATCCAACAAAAGTTTCACGACCTCTCCTTTTATTGTTATTATTTTTAATTATCTCCACCAACTTTATTTTCTTTCTATTAATTAACTTAATTTTTATAGATTTTTTTTTTTAAGCAGGAGTGATTTGGCATGCCAGAGACTAATTAATGTGCAATATTATATAGATCAAAATTATTGAAGTTTTTCATTATATTTTTTTTTTGTGTGTTTGGGTTCAAAATAATTGAATATTTAGTTCGAATGAAATACATAAATTAATGTCAGGAGGTTAATTTAAGGATTCTATATATTATATGCATGAAAGGCTTTTGAAAGTGTCATGTTGCACTTTCTTCCCATTCCTTGGCACCAGAAAAGGAAAAATAAAAAAATAAAATAAAATAATTGAAAGTTGAAACTTTTTAACCTTTCCAATTTATTACTTTACTCCGTATAAAACTTAATTTATAAGGAACTTAAATTTTTTGAACAATATAAGGAACTTAAATTAAGTTCCTTAATTTATAAGGAACTTAAATAAAGAACTTTACTCCGTATAAAACTTTATCAATAAAGAATTTAATTTATTAAATGGAATCAAATTGGGAAATTCGACCTCTACCATTAAGTATTGAGAAATGTTACATTCCGATCCCTTCATGATTTCACCCAATAATTTTTACCTCACATGTTTTGATGTTTTTTTTTAATATTTGATTAATAAATAGATTTTTACTTATAAATAAACACCAAGAATTATGAAGTAAAATTTGGAGCAACATTATTGTTTTGAAGTATTTGATCTAGTACGTGGTTCATCCATGTTAAATTGTTACATGCATGATACAATCGCCTTGTTTGGTAAATGATTGTTAGTAGTTAGTTGATTGAGTTAATTAGAGGGTATAACTAATTGATAACATTAGCTAATTGTAGAAAGATGTTTGGTAAATTAGCTGTTAGCTGATAGTTGTTCGGTATAATTTATTTTCTCAAAAAGCTAATTGAAAAAGTTGTTTTGAGTAAATTTTTGAATTTTAACATTTTGGAATACAAAAAGCTAATGAACCAAACACTTATATTAATTTTTAAACCAAGTCAAACAACTAATAATGTCAAATAAACTAAACTAAAATTAGTTTATAAGTTAATTAGGCCAATAATCAACAATTAGTTTATATTTGTGAAATTGCTTTTGTCACTGCATCTCAAAACGGTTCCTTCTATGTTAAGGCAAGAGAAACATGATCGATACTGTAATCCCACGTACATTCCTCAAATGGATTTTGATCTACTTTAATTTATTGCAATTCAATCACAAATAAAAAGATATGTTATCCACTTATTTTCAATGTCCTATCTGCTTAACATTAGAGATCATTCCTCTTCAACAAGTCCAACCCACATAAATTTTCTATTAAAGTTTTTTTTTTTTTTTTTATATGATTTGCAAATTATAACATATATAGGAGCAATGTTTAATTTATCAATACACACCCTCAAGTAATAAATACATATTTCTCCTACCAAAAAAAAAATAATAATAATCATTTTTCCCGTCTAGAGATTCGGTGCAGTTTACACCTTTAAATTATTTATTTTTATACTACAAATTAATTTAAACATATCAAATTTTAATTTGTTTCTAGATCAAGTGAATAAAAATAATTAGTTTGAGATTTTTTATTGATACATGAGAAGCAAATTAAAACAAAGAGATCACACACACACATCGATATCCTTAGGTGCGACGGTGCGGCGGAATTTCAGAATACACCAATAATGTTAACAACATGCACCAACAATAATTTAATGG